GCTTATTTGTTGGCAGTAGATTCCAATTTACTCCAACTTTTAAAATTAGCTTCACTCTACAAACACTTTGATGCATTTATTGTCACAATCCACTACAGCTATTCTACCATCATTACACACTGCTACACCACGGGGCCGACTCAGTCCATCCTTGTCACTATCAATCCTGAAAATAAACTGACCATTGCTGTCATGCTTAGTGACTTTATGTTCACTGCTTACATATACATAATCATTCTTATCTACAGCCACTCCTGTGGGATAACTCATTCTACTGACACCAGTGGAAAAGAATTCAAACATAAACTGGTCATCAGAATTTAATACCTGAATACGGTGGTTGTACCAACCTGACACATATACCATCCCTTTACTGTTAATAGCTAACAAGTAAGGTGTATCAAACTCTCCTTGCCTATCTCCACTTTTCCCAAATGACTTAATAAACACACCACCCTGGGTATACTTTCTAATACAATCCTTACTATACTCACTCACATACACATTCTTAGTAACAGGATTAATTGCAATTCCACATGGATCATCAATTTCAGAGCTTCCAAACTTTCTAATCAACTTTCTAATCAACTTTCCATATTCATCACTCACAACTACTTGTTTGTTATTGTCATCTGTCATAAAGTATTCATTATCATCTGATATTGCTACATCACATGGTCTGAATGTCTCTGCAAACTGACCAGTGAATGTAAATGATTGTTTGTAATTTCCATCTCTGTCATGCATAGTCACTCTATTGTTCCCTCTATCAGCTGTGACAAAGTCACCATGTTTATTTATGGTTATTCCCCAAGGATTGCTGAACTGTCCTTCACTTCCTGCGTTTCCCACTGTCTGTACTAATCCTATGATAACAGGAATATGGAATGGTGATCCTGGTATATGTTGGTTACCAATCGTCATGGCAACTTGCTGTTTTCCTTCCGTCTTTCCTGTTATCATCACATGATATGTCCCATTGTTATTGTATGTAATGTCAATGTTTTCCCAGGATGCACCAGGGGTCTTTGTTTTCACCCAGACATCTTGATGGGGAATGATTTGTTTTCCTTTGGAATCTCTGGTTGTGATGAGCAGTTTGACAGGTACACCTTTCACAAGTTGTTTTGGGATGTTTTCAACTGTACATTTGGATGGACAGACATCAATTTGATCACTCCTATCAATGCATGTGT